ACCACACAAAACAAATAAAACTAAAATATAACTGTATACATATAACAATATAACTATATAAAATAAATTATATGAACTGAGATAAAATAACCAAAAAGGACATCAAAAACTTAGGCCAAATACCTGCCGAGGCCAGTCCCAACATAAAAATGCTAGATGATAAACGTTTCACCGGCCGCAAGGTGCGGGTCTCTTTCACTTGCCGGCCGGAATTTGCCACCGAGTTAAAACGAGCCGCGGCTCTAAATAATTGCTACCAAATAGAATTATTAGAAAAAGCGTGAGAATGTTATAAGGTTCATAATAATATAACGGAATTATAACGTTATAAGCAATAGTAAAATATAACCATACGAATATAACAATATAACTATACTTAAAATATGAAAGAAATAATAATCATTAAAACTACCCAAAGCGAGAAAATAAAAAATTTGTTGGACCAAAATAATACGGATTACGAAATTGTTTATAAAGACGCAATTAATATAAGCGAGGAAGAAATTTGACGCCGTGATATCCTTTTGGCGAATAAAGATGAAGCCCGTAATAAAGAAATTGCTGAATGAGATGCCATTAGCGACGAGGATGATTGAGAAGAAATAAAAGCCAATGAATGAGAATAAATTAAATATTAAGAGAGGTGATGTTTGGCTAATTAAGTTTAAAAAACGCGACAGCCTCGGTACCGAAATATGAAAAACTCGACCAGGAGTAATTTTCTCGGCCGCTTTTTATAATGAAGAAAGTAAAAGAATAATTGCCTTACCTTTATCTACTACTATTCAGCCTTTGTATAGGTGAGAAATACCCGTAATAGTAAATAATAAAAAGGGGAAGATAATGGTCGACCAAATAAGAAGTTTTGATAAAGAAAAGAGATTAATTAAAAAAATAGGAGAATTACCTAAGGAAGTGCTAGAAAAAGCCGAGCAAATATTAAGTAAATTGGTAGAACTGAAATATTGGGCAAAAGAGGAGAAAAAATAATATGACAATTATCGCTTTTATCTCCCAAAAAGGCGGAGTAGGAAAATCTACTTTAAGCCAAGCCCTAGCCACCGAGGCCAAAAATAAGAAATTTCGCACGCTTTTGGCGGATTGTGATAATCAACAGGCCACCAGTCAGCAATGAAGCAAAATTAAGGGCAAAATCCCTTGTCAAATTTTTAATTCGGTTCAGGATATTTGGCCTTTAAGTAAAAATTATGATTTAATCATCATCGATGGCCCCGCGCGCACTAGCCAAAGCACCCTCCAAATTGCCCGCCAGGCTGATCTGATAATTCAACCCACCGGAGCCAGTCGCGCCGATCTACAGCCCGCCGTCAAAGAATTTCATGCTCTAAAAGCCGCCGGTATAAATCCTAAAAAATTATTATTTGTCATAAACCGGGTAGCCTCGCTGGCCGAAGAAAAGGCAGCACAAAATTATTTAAGCCAGACCGGCTACCAGGTAGTCAGTCTCCCACTTTATGAAAAGTCTTCTTATCGAGAGGCTCAAAACCGAGGTCAAAGCATTGCTAATGTCCGCTATAAAAATTTGAGTCATCAGGTGCAAAAATTAGTCTACAATATTCTCTCCTATTTATAACTATATGAATATAACAATATAACCCATATAATTATTTTATGAAAAGCAAAAATATTTATTATCTTAATTGAATTAAAGACCGCAAATTAGTGCGGACCATACCAGGAAAATATATTCAGTTAGAATTAGGCGAGAACTTATATAATAATTTGAGCCAAATAGTAGTTGACAGTTGGCAAATAATAAAAAAAATAACGCCAGTAAGTTCTCATGGTTCGGAATTACATGAACAGGCTTATAAGGCCGCTATTTACTCCTTGGTCTATAAGTGAGAAGTAGAAAAGACCGGATTATTAGCAGCCTGAGCCCAATTAGGTTGCCGTTTAGTTCGCGGTCATTATTTTACTAATGGCAATAAGCGGGTCGGATTGTTGGCTATGATAAATTTTGTCCACGCCTGCGGTTTTCATTTACGTGATGATAAAAATAACGAAATTTTATTAAAGCAGTGGGAAAAATTATTATTAGAAATTGCCACCGCTCAAAGCGAAGCGTTAGCGGTTGAATTAGTTAAGGCTCATTTATTATTAGAAATCATAGGTTCATAATTAGGTAAAATAAATATATAACATGGTTAAAGTAAAAATAATTAAAAGTAAAAAAAAGGGTCATTTAGATATAAAAAAAACCCTAAAAATTACTAAACAAAATAAAACCATTTTGGCAGTAGTAAAGAGATTAGCCAATAAATAACATATAGTTATATAGTTATATCTATACAGTTATATAGTTATAATTATTTACTAAGCACTAAATCTTTCCTGGCAAGGTTCAGAACAAAAATAAACCCCTTCATAACAGCCATATAACGTCTTACCTGCGTTATCAGCAAAAGCCACCTTTTGCCAGAGCATATTTTCTATATTGGCGGAATCGCCACACGTTCTACACTTGCTTCACATTTTATCAGGGTCAAATTTTTTCTTTCTTGTCCTTTCATCATTGCCATTATTAAGTTGGGTAATTAGGTCCATCATATATAATATTATAAATCTTTTAAAGGTCGCAAAAATTATTAATATTATTAAGAGATGAAGAACCGAAAATAACCTTTCCTATAAAATTATACTCAACCTTAAAAATGAAGCAAAAAAATAATATAAATGTCTAATAAAATACCCTATCCTACTAATTATTAAATAATCCTAATTACTTTTGGCTGGACTTCTTGCCTTCTCCCCTTTATATAGCATCTCCATCAGAAATTTTTTTCACTCTTCACCTAATAAATTTAACGGATGGTTCATCGTTCAAAAAATTTCTTTTGCGTTTGCTAGGAAAGACCTCGCCTCTTGCAGAGGCTCATTTAATTGTAAAAATTTTGCTGGGCCTTTTTAGGGGGATGGTTAGCTATATAAGTATTTATAGGAGTGTTATTTTATAATGATAAGGAACCAGTAGACAGGCAGCCGGTGGCAGTGGTTTAATAGGTTATTATCTCACCTTTTTTCTTTTTCTGGTAATCTATAACCGCTTTTTCTACTAATTCAGTTATTAAATAATCTTCCTCATAATTTCTAAGCAGCCCGCCAGTTGTATTATTTTTTATCCTATATCGTATCTTACCGTATCGTCTAGCATCGTCTCTTATATATAGTTATCTAACTAACCACAACCCACAAAGGCCTGGTAAAGTTCCTTATCATTATAAAATAACACTCCTATAAATACTTATATAGCTAACCATCCCCCTAAAAAGGCCCAGCAAAATTTTTACAATTAAATGAGCCTCTGCAAGAGGCGAGGTCTTTCCTAGCAAACGCAAAAGAAATTTTTTGAACGATGAACCATCCGTTAAATTTATTAGGTGAAGAGTGAAAAAAATTTCTGATGGAGATGCTATATAAAGGGGAGAAGGCAAGAAGTCCAGCCAAAAGTAATTAGGATTATTTAATAATTAGTAGGATAGGGTATTTTATTAGACATTTATATTATTTTTTTGCTTCATTTTTAAGGTTGAGTATAATTTTATAGGAAAGGTTATTTTCGGTTCTTCATCTCTTAATAATATTAATAATTTTTGCGACCTTTAAAAGATTTATAATATTATATATGATGGACCTAATTACCCAACTTAATAATGGCAATGATGAAAGGACAAGAAAGAAAAAATTTGACCCTGATAAAATGTGAAGCAAGTGTAGAACGTGTGGCGATTCCGCCAATATAGAAAATATGCTCTGGCAAAAGGTGGCTTTTGCTGATAACGCAGGTAAGACGTTATATGGCTGTTATGAAGGGGTTTATTTTTGTTCTGAACCTTGCCAGGAAAGATTTAGTGCTTAGTAAATAATTATAACTATATAACTGTATAGATATAACTATATAACTATATGTTATTTATTGGCTAATCTCTTTACTACTGCCAAAATGGTTTTATTTTGTTTAGTAATTTTTAGGGTTTTTTTTATATCTAAATGACCCTTTTTTTTACTTTTAATTATTTTTACTTTAACCATGTTATATATTTATTTTACCTAATTATGAACCTATGATTTCTAATAATAAATGAGCCTTAACTAATTCAACCGCTAACGCTTCGCTTTGAGCGGTGGCAATTTCTAATAATAATTTTTCCCACTGCTTTAATAAAATTTCGTTATTTTTATCATCACGTAAATGAAAACCGCAGGCGTGGACAAAATTTATCATAGCCAACAATCCGACCCGCTTATTGCCATTAGTAAAATAATGACCGCGAACTAAACGGCAACCTAATTGGGCTCAGGCTGCTAATAATCCGGTCTTTTCTACTTCTCACTTATAGACCAAGGAGTAAATAGCGGCCTTATAAGCCTGTTCATGTAATTCCGAACCATGAGAACTTACTGGCGTTATTTTTTTTATTATTTGCCAACTGTCAACTACTATTTGGCTCAAATTATTATATAAGTTCTCGCCTAATTCTAACTGAATATATTTTCCTGGTATGGTCCGCACTAATTTGCGGTCTTTAATTCAATTAAGATAATAAATATTTTTGCTTTTCATAAAATAATTATATGGGTTATATTGTTATATTCATATAGTTATAAATAGGAGAGAATATTGTAGACTAATTTTTGCACCTGATGACTCAAATTTTTATAGCGGACATTAGCAATGCTTTGACCTCGGTTTTGAGCCTCTCGATAAGAAGACTTTTCATAAAGTGGGAGACTGACTACCTGGTAGCCGGTCTGGCTTAAATAATTTTGTGCTGCCTTTTCTTCGGCCAGCGAGGCTACCCGGTTTATGACAAATAATAATTTTTTAGGATTTATACCGGCGGCTTTTAGAGCATGAAATTCTTTGACGGCGGGCTGTAGATCGGCGCGACTGGCTCCGGTGGGTTGAATTATCAGATCAGCCTGGCGGGCAATTTGGAGGGTGCTTTGGCTAGTGCGCGCGGGGCCATCGATGATGATTAAATCATAATTTTTACTTAAAGGCCAAATATCCTGAACCGAATTAAAAATTTGACAAGGGATTTTGCCCTTAATTTTGCTTCATTGCTGACTGGTGGCCTGTTGATTATCACAATCCGCCAAAAGCGTGCGAAATTTCTTATTTTTGGCCTCGGTGGCTAGGGCTTGGCTTAAAGTAGATTTTCCTACTCCGCCTTTTTGGGAGATAAAAGCGATAATTGTCATATTATTTTTTCTCCTCTTTTGCCCAATATTTCAGTTCTACCAATTTACTTAATATTTGCTCGGCTTTTTCTAGCACTTCCTTAGGTAATTCTCCTATTTTTTTAATTAATCTCTTTTCTTTATCAAAACTTCTTATTTGGTCGACCATTATCTTCCCCTTTTTATTATTTACTATTACGGGTATTTCTCACCTATACAAAGGCTGAATAGTAGTAGATAAAGGTAAGGCAATTATTCTTTTACTTTCTTCATTATAAAAAGCGGCCGAGAAAATTACTCCTGGTCGAGTTTTTCATATTTCGGTACCGAGGCTGTCGCGTTTTTTAAACTTAATTAGCCAAACATCACCTCTCTTAATATTTAATTTATTCTCATTCATTGGCTTTTATTTCTTCTCAATCATCCTCGTCGCTAATGGCATCTCATTCAGCAATTTCTTTATTACGGGCTTCATCTTTATTCGCCAAAAGGATATCACGGCGTCAAATTTCTTCCTCGCTTATATTAATTGCGTCTTTATAAACAATTTCGTAATCCGTATTATTTTGGTCCAACAAATTTTTTATTTTCTCGCTTTGGGTAGTTTTAATGATTATTATTTCTTTCATATTTTAAGTATAGTTATATTGTTATATTCGTATGGTTATATTTTACTATTGCTTATAACGTTATAATTCCGTTATATTATTATGAACCTTATAACATTCTCACGCTTTTTCTAATAATTCTATTTGGTAGCAATTATTTAGAGCCGCGGCTCGTTTTAACTCGGTGGCAAATTCCGGCCGGCAAGTGAAAGAGACCCGCACCTTGCGGCCGGTGAAACGTTTATCATCTAGCATTTTTATGTTGGGACTGGCCTCGGCAGGTATTTGGCCTAAGTTTTTGATGTCCTTTTTGGTTATTTTATCTCAGTTCATATAATTTATTTTATATAGTTATATTGTTATATGTATACAGTTATATTTTAGTTTTATTTGTTTTGTGTGGT